TGCGTTATGCAAAGAAGCAGGATTCCCAGAAGGAGTTGTTAATGTTTTGAACGGCTATGGTTCTACAACTGGTGCAGCAATCGCTAAACATATGAAAATTGATAAACTCTCTTTTACTGGTAATTATGTAATTTCTGTTCTGTTGTAAACATATTTTACAATCATTAAACAATTTTCGCTTGCCAAATTGAACAAATCTGTTTATAATATCCTAAAGGATCAAATGCAACAGGAAGATTTCTATTAAAAGCAGCCAGTGAAAGTAACTTGAAAAATGTAACGCTCGAATTAGGTGGAAAATCACCAAACATAATTTTCGCAGATGCAGACCTTGATGAAGCTGTTAAATGGGCTCATATGGGAATATTTTTATCACGGACAATGTTGTAGCGCTGGGTCTCGTGTTTATGTTCAAGATAAGATTTATGATGAATTTTTAACGAAATTTAAAGCTATGACTGAGTCTAATAAAGTTGGTGACCCCTTCGAAGCGGATACTTATCAAGGACCACAGGTTTCTAAGGCGCAATTTGATAGGTACAGTATAAATGCTAGAGACATGTCATTGAGTGAGATAGTGATGTCATCTTTGCGCAATTAAATCACATGACGGTATTTCTCGCGCGAGATAAGAAGACCTTTTAAGTCGCTGAAGTCTTGCACAAGATCATGTGACATAAAATATGTGCTAGGTTTATTTCGCGTGAGGCACATCTCTAATAAATATAGTATAAATTTAAACATTATTCGATATTATCAATTTGATTAGGTATTTCTTTGTTCAAAGGGTTAAAAAGAACAATGTCTATCAAATTGAAACCTCAAAAATTTTATAAAAATTTGAAAAGTCTTAACGCTAACCAAATTCGATAAAATAAAAATTTTTATCGAATTTGGTTATTGAAATATCTTTAAGTTTTTTTGAGCAAAGATATTAGGACAACCACCCAGTTACATCTGATGGTGGATGTCGAGGTATACTTAGTTTTAAAAAAATTTTTGTATTATGTGGGATATTAATAACAAAATTGAGTTTTATTAGTATTACAGAGTATTGCAATATAGTTGGAGGAAGGTTTCTTTGTTCTGAGTATTCTTGCTTAGGTATTAAAGGGTATTATTTTTTTTTCATTGAATTTGTAATAGAATTATGAATTATATTGAATGTGGAAAGAAAGAAGGGGCTACATTACTTATGGGCGGTGAGAGGCATGGTAACGAAGGATACTTTATTAAACCAACCGTTTTTACAAACACTGTGAGTACCAAAATTATAATCATTATTAACGTCACATAATTATATTTCGATTTTAAAATTAATAACGTTACATAATTATATTTCGGTTTAATATTAATCATATTAACATTACAAAATGCAGAATGAAAATATGACCATAATGCAAGATGAAATTTTCGGCCCGGTAGTAGCGATTTCCAAGTTTTCGACCGTGGAAGAAGTGATTGAAAAAGCACATTTAACAAAATACGGATTGGCGGCAGCTGTCTTTACCAAGGATATCACTAAAGCTATTAAATTATCCAATGAATTAAGAGCTGGAACCGTTTGGGGTATGTTAGTTTTAGTATTTTAACAAATAAAAAATAATTTTTTAATAGCGATAGTTTACTATAATGACCAAATATTTTTTCAAAAAATTATTAGTTAATTGTTATAATCTTGTTAATTCGAGATTGTGAGTATGGATGAAATAGTGTCTTGTATATAACCATGGCCGTTGCTAACATTCCTTATTCATTATTTTCTGTTTCGTAATAGACCTTTTGAAGGATATAAAGAATCTGGTATGGGACGGGATCTTTCAAAATATGCTTTAGATCAGTATACTCAAGTCAAGACTGTTCAAATTAATTTGGATGTTGGTAAAATAAAATTAAAGGGAGGCATTGAGTAATTTACTTAAGGAACCGAGCATTGATTACTCGAACAGTTTTTAACAGTTTAAGATTGTTTGTAATATCCACATATCCACAGTGTATTTTAATAAACTCATATTTAATAAATTTTAAATTCGAATTGCGAGAGAAAAAGTTTAAGATAGTTTAAAAGCTCTTGGAAAATAATTAAGTTCAAATCAACAATAAACAGTATCTCTTTAACTTGAATTAGGATTCTAATGTTGAAATATATCTTTATTTTTAATAGACAATTTATGGTTGTTTTCTTTTAGACAGACAATAT